TAACATCTCTGATATTATTTGGTTCAGGCCACGCATTAATTGCTCGCACCTTCTCAGGATCAGCTGATATACCTTTCGAGGATATGATAAATCCAAGAAAAATTACATGATCAGTAAGGAACGTACACTTCTTAGGATTCACATACAATTGTTCTTTTCTCAAGACTTCACAAACTTGATTTAAATGATTGATATGTTGATCCACCGAATTACTATAGATCAGTATATCATCGAAGCAGACTACTACAAACTTTCCTAAGAAGGGTCTGAGGACTTGGGTCATAACTTTCATAAATGTTCTCGGTGCATTGCTCAGACCGAAAGGCATAACCGTCCATTCGTACAATCCATCCTTGATTTTAAAAGCAGTTTTTCATTCGTCTCCCGGGCAAATTCTAATTTGGTGATAGCCACTTTTAAGGTCAATCTTAGAAAATAAGGTGGCTCCTGTCATCATATTTAACATGTCATCTAGACCTGGGATGAGGAAACAATACTTGACCGTGATTTTGTTGATAGCGCGGCTATCAACACATTCTCTAAGATCCATCCCTTTTGGTGGTCAGAAGGGTGGAGACAGCACAAGGGCTAAGGCTCTCCTTGATGAAGTCACGTTGCAAGAGCTCGTCCACTTGTTTCTTCAGCTCAGCATGTTCCTTTGCAACATTCTTAATATTACTAGCTACTTTATTCCACATAACATTCGCTTCCTCATGCACATTCAAAATCTTAAGATCTCGAATCTTATTATAAAAAATAATTTTCTTAATTTTTTTAAGCCTCGATTTAATCTTAGATTAACGTTTTACTAATTTTTTCTTATTATGCTCCATCTTAAAATCCAAAATAATAAGCAATGTTGAGTACATAAACTTTCACTCTAAATAACTTTAAAATCTAAAAGATATGTTTTTCTTATAAGAAAATAATTCATCTGAGTTTTACTATATCCATTCTGATAAGTGATGAGATGCTCATCTCTTTTCTTAAATAAAATATTAGCAATTACAAAATCATAAGTAGAGCAAAATCTAATATAGTCTTACCACCTTTATTAGTCACTCCAAACCCATAGCCATCATGAATACTTTTAAAATCATCTACCTCTCTACCAACATGTTCATTTAAATCTCTTCCAATAAAAATTCTTTCTTCAAGAGGAATATTTTGAATTAATTCTTCTAAGTTATTCCCAAGGTTTAAAATTGCGTAATTAAGCCTCGAGGCGGTTTTCGTCTGTGAGGCGAGGCATAAGCCTCGAGGCGGTCTGAGGCGTAAGCCTCAAGGACACAGAATTGCATAAATGAATAATTAAGGGATTTAGCAGGAAAATAATAGCAATATTGTATCTTACAATAAAAACATCTAAATGATATATGAAAATAGTGGAAAGTAAGAAAGTAGATGCAATAAAATCATGTCCCAAAGTACAAAATCACAAAATATTAATTTAACAAAACTCCCAAAGTACAAAAAACATATAAAATGCAATCATATCCCATCACTAAATGGGTCTTCAAGGGAATCTTCTTCTCCAATTGTATCTATGAATGTTATGTCATCATTATCTTCAATATGACTCACTTTTCTCTTCCCTGTTCAATAAGAGAAAAGGTCATTAGCATGTTAATTACTCACTTGATATAAATATACTGCGATAGCATATAAGAAGTTGTGGAATACATTTACTTGATTGTTGTGCTGCAGAGCTAGTGGATGTGTGTGGTGTGGTACTAGTGGATGTGCCCACTTGATCTGCTTCGCCCCTCAAGACATCCACACTTAGATCTTCTAACTGTAAGTCTGATAATGGCAAATATGTCTCATCATTTATGAACCACTCATTATCAGACGACACATCATCACACACTAATGGGTCCTCATCATCCTTCAACCCCTTATTCCTCAACCTCCTCTCTCTCAACCTCTTGTTGTGCATAATATATATGAGAGGGTTCATTCTGAGTGTTGATAGCCGATTTCTTCTCTTTGTTTACACTTGGCTATATGTAATCCAGTTTCGCTCACACCCAGAAGAAGAACAAGTGAGGCCCAACACTCTTACAGCAAAACTCTATAACTCAGGGGTGGAATCACCAAATTGGATCCACCATTCAACTGTTTTCAAGAAAAAACATAATCAGAACTGAATAAAGTGTTTTGCATTTACAAAAATAATTATACCTGGAGATCGTTTAGAAATGGTTGCTTTTGCTGCATTCAAACCAAAAAATCCTCTTTATTCCGGAATAGAACAAGTTGTAAATCTGCAAGCTCCCTAATCTGGCCTTGCTCCAGGTAGGTTAGATCTTTCCATAACAGTAGAATTTAGCCATTCACATAATCGTAGACTGCACTAAGGTCTCGTGCTCAAAATGGCATAAGTTACAGTAGTCCAAAATATTTATCCTTCAGAATTATCTTTCTTATTTCCTTCCCCTCACTCTTCTTCCCCAAGCAGATTTAAAGCTCATTCATAGATGTAAACATTGCTTCCAAAGGTTGCCTCACCTCCATCAAGCTCTGCAGTGTCAAATAGGATTGTGCAAAACCTATAGTTCACAGTACACAAGTATATTTGCAATGAACAAATTTAAGAACATACCTAGTAGTGCGGGCGAATGATTTTCTTTCTTGAAACTTTCTCATCAAGCTTAAGAACCCAGATGATTGGTAGATTGAAATCTTTGTAATCCTTCTCGCCCTAAGAAAGATAGCACTCTTTGTCTGATGTAAGTCACCAAGCATCCTCCAAAATGAGATCGATACAATTATGCTGCGCCGGCGTGTCATATATAGTGTTCCTCTTCTTCCATCAACATCTGACACCTGCTTGTATGCACTGCATTACAGTCACTACCTGGAACAACCAATTGCTCCCCAATTCTCCTCAATAACCCCATCAAGTAAATTGAAAATGATGTAGCATTTTTCTACCTCCTCTGAAGCACGACTGGATCGTAAGAACCACCGTGTCATAGGATGTTGTTACAAGGATGTTAATCAAGCTCCTGCTCTTTCATTTAACAAATCATTCTGACATAATAGTCCACACCAGTTCAATCCATTCCTTTTAATCTCCTGAATGCTCACTCTGTAGTCTGCAGCTCCTCTTTAAATCCCATGTTAGCAACCATACATGAAGGTGCCTTCAACCCTCTTCCATACATATCCTACAGACCGGCAACATACTGAAGTGGGCAAGGCGATTGTAATGCAAATGTAAATGGTATTTTATGCATTCTCAAAAAAAAAGAAACTCCCAAATGTCCATATGCAAACTGTCGCCGACCCTCTCTAGTACCAGCTGCAGGCATCATCTCTGCTTCTCCTCTATCCGCTCCTGGAGTAGTCATATACTGATCCATAGGACCCCGTGCACCTCTACTATGTATAGTGGAGGAAGAGCCCTTTCCACTCTCGCTCCCAAAATAAGCATCATGCTCGACCCTTTCATCAAATTGCTCATGTTGTAAGTGTTTAGCAGTGGTAGTTTTCTTCATGTAAGCACTTATTTCTTCCTTCACATTGTCCGACACTTTTGCACACGGTGCTACGTTCTTGTGAGAGCATGATAAGTGCTCCTTCATGTGGGTTACTCCGCCCTTCACCACTTTCTCACAAAAATTGCATTTTAAATAGACTTACGTTTTCTTGCCCCCTCCTACGTCAACTTGCACGCTATATTTCCAAGAAGGGTCACGCCGCAATGACGTATTCGCCTTTTCTTTACCTCTAACCTTGTCTCCTAAAGCAAAAAACCAAATACACAAAAAAACAATTAAAAAAAAAACTAAACCCTATTTTTTCTTAAACTTGAAAAATATAACCCTAAACTTAATAAAAATACCTAAAATCCAATGTGGAGTACTCCTAGAGGGCGGCCGGAAGTTTCAACTTCGCTGGAGAGAGGCAGCGCCGGCGGGAGAAGCGGCGGGAAGGAGGCCGACACTTGCGGGAGCTCTGTTTCGCGAACTGGAGCGTGCGGGAGCTCTGTTTCGCGAACTAGAGGGGGAAAAATCGGGTCCGTTCGGGTATAGGGAGAGAAAAGGATTCAATTTAAGTGAGTGGGCCCTATCCCAGTGAGGCGTACGCCTCACCAGGAATTGCGCAATTGCACATCTGAGGCGCGCCTCAGTCCCAGTGAGGCGTACGCCTCTGTAAGAGGTGGAATTGCGTAGGTTTCGAGGCGTTTTTGGGAGGAATTGCGCAGAGGCGCGCCTCTAATTGCGCAATTTTAAACAGAGGTTATTCCAAAATTTTAATTTTAAACACGTAATCAAAGCTACTTGAGGAGCATAAACACTTATAATATTAATAATTTTAACATCAACAATAATCTTCAAAGCAATAATTTTGTCTCCAATTCTATCAATTTTTATAATATTATCCTTCAAACTCTGATCTATAATCACATACACCATTTCTAGTACGACTTCTACCAGAATATCAAAGTTTAAATCCTAAACTAATAATCTCCTTAGCCTTCTCTCCAGCCCATTTAATTTCTTGAATGCATAAAATATTTATCTTACTATGAATCATAATATCAATCAATTCCACTAATTTTCATGTAAGAGAACCTACATCCGAAGATCCAATATGAATTCTAATTTCATAGACTAGCTTATTTGCCCACATCAGTCCATGATGTGGGAAGAATTACCAATTTAACACTGCATGCAGGCGCCGATGTAGCGGCCTTGCACACTTCTCGTTATATTCAAGTCATACAGCGCGTCGCTTCCAAGAAACGACATAGCATTAACACAATATATTAAAGAATCTATGTCATGATTATTCGACAAGTTTTACGCTTGTTGTCGACTATCTAACGCAACCCTCCACTTTTCTCATCCAGGACTTGGGATCTAACAATGGCAGTGTTGCAACCAAGAATTACTGCAATGTAACAAAAATTTTGACAAGTTGAATGCATCGAATCTAACAATACTAGTGAAGCTAACAAGCCATAAAAGCAGTAAGGATGATGTGCTTACAAAGGAAAGTGCACACGGAATCTAACATACTGATCACCATGACTGGAAGACCCAATATGCTTTGGCAGACCTGATAGAACAACAATATCAAGAAAGCAATTATAAGCATCACTACATCAGAATGAGGAAGGATAAATCAAAATAAGTGTACCTCTGCCCCTCAATGCCAATAGTTGGCCTGGCTGTACTCCCTTTGGTATCTAACAAGAGAAATAATAAACAACACACATGATTTCACTAGATATATCAGCACAAAAATCAAGAAAAGAAAAAACATGCAAACTAACATGGAAGCTTCATAATGAGCTGTAAAATCACCAAGTAAAGAATATTAATCTTTTGAAAAATGAATACATACAAAAACAAGATGGAATTTCTGAAGATAGCATATGCCCAAAAACAGTAGTACATGGATAAGAGTGATCTTTGACGTGCTACTCTTGCTACTTGACATATTTTTTCCTTTAATGGAGCTGGCGAACGGGCGGAGATATGGGAGCAGCTGTGTGGACTTGCTATTTACCAACATGGCTAGAAGTGTTGCCCAAAAACAAGACCAACATAAATACATTCAAAACGTAATGTACCACTCAATAGGAGTGCACGGCAGAAAGATTCACAAAGCAGGCCCCAAATAGATGGGAAAATACTAATGACGGTGTGATGTTGATGATTATGAAATCAACAAAGACAAGTTCTACAACAAGTTGCACGACTTCAATAAACTCAAATGGTCACAGGGAAGATATGAAGGGAATCAAAGGACTTTCTTGATTACGTCTCCATCTCTATTGGCACTAGATGCTCTTCCCCTTCCAGATATAAATAGTGAAGCTTCCTGGCACGGAAAAGAGACTTCACTGGAAACATGGGAATATAAGAAAACTATATTTAACTGAATTAAATGATTCTTTGAAAGAAACAAAGAACGGTGTTGGAATCAAGCTTATACCTCAAAATGGACTATACAAAGTTCAAATAAAAGCTAATATGTAACAGAATTCTCCCTCACGATATGTACGGATGTAAATGATGTAGAACTGAAGAATTTTTTCTTGAGATAAAACATTTAGGAATATATATATATATATATATATAGAAAGAGAGAGTGAGAGAGAGAGAGAGAGAGAAATATATGCTGAAAGAAAAATCTATTATTTTAGAAGCAAAAAAATCCCAAAATAGTCCCCATACTATTCATGCATGGTCAATTTAATCCCAAAGTATCACATTACCCCAATTTAGTCCCTCAGCTATACAAAATTGATCCAAAAATAGTCCTTGTTATAATTGTAATATAAAATTGATCACAATTAAGTCCCTCGACTTTGCAAAATTGATCCCAATATAGTTCCTCGACTTCACAAAACTAATCCAAATTTAGTCCCAAAAGAACCATATTAGATCAATTTTATATGGTCAACAACAACAACAACAACAAGCCTTTATCTCACTAGGTGGGGTCGGCTACATGAATCCTTTTTATCCATTGTGTCCTATTAAAAGTCAAATTCTCGTTTAAATATAATAAAGAAAGGTCATTCCTAATATTTTCTAACCAAGTCTTTTTAGGTCTGCCTCTACCTTTCTTAACATAAGTCAAATCTAATACATCTACTTTCCTAACTGGGTCATCGGAAGGCCGCCATTTTATGTGACCAAACCATCTAAGGCGACTCTCTCAAATCTTATCTTCTACTGGAGCTACTCCAACCTTTTCACGTATATGCTCATTTCGTATCATATCTCTAAGGGTAAAGCCACTCATCACCTGAGCATCCTCATCTATGCCACACTTAACTTAGTATTATGCTTCTCTTTTAATGGCCAACATTTGACACCATAAATCATTGCAGGCCTCACCACCATCTTATAGAATTTTCCCTTAAGTTTGAGTGGTATTTTTCTATTACATAGCAAGCCCGATGCATTCCTCCACTTCAACCATCCAACTTGAATTCTGCTGATAATATCACCATTTATATCACCATCACTGTGAATAATAGATCCCATATATCTAAAACGTGTACTCTTATTAATAACTTGATCGCCCAATGTCACAATCCCCTCACTAGGTCTATTACTATTAAAATTACACTATATATTCCGTTTTAGATCTACTCAAGCAAAAACCTTTAAACTCCAAGATTGACCTCCATAATTCAAGTTTACCTTCAACTCCCTCTCTAGTCTTATCAACAAGAAGAATATCATCAGCCAAAAGCATACACCAAGGTATATCATCTTGCAAATGTCTAGTGAGAACATCCATGACTAAAGCAAAAAGATATGGGCTTAAGGCTGATCCTTGATGTAATCCAACTGAAATAGGAAAATACTTTGTCAAACCACCTTATGTTAGAACACAAGTAATAGCTCCTGCATACATATCTTTAATGATTTGAATATAAGCATTATTAACTCATTTCTTTTCAAGAACTCTCCATAGCACTTCTCTTGGAACTTTACCATATGTTTTTTTTATAAATCAATAAATATCATATGTAGATCCTCCTTATTTTCTCTATATTTCTCCATCAAACCTCTTAATAAATGTATGGCTTCCATCAGTCATCCTACCCGTCATGAATTCAAATTGATTTTGAGAAACATTAGTATCACGCCGCAACCTATGCTCCATAACTCGCTCCCATAGTTTTAAAGTATGACACATTAACTTAATTCATCTATAATTCGCACAATCTTGTGATTCTTAAAAATAAGAATTAACACACTCATTCTCCACTCATCTGGCATCTTTTTAGTCTTCAAAACAATATTAAAAAGTTTAGTAAGCCAAGAAATTCGTTCATCTCCTAAGCATTTTCACACCTCTATTGGAATATCATCAGGTCCAACAACTTTTCCACCTTTTATTTTCTTTAAAGTCTCTCTAACTTCAGTTTTACTAATACGCCAATAAACACAGAAATCTTTATTTTCATTTGCTAAGGTTACTACAGTCAATCTTATTTCACAATCTTCATTAAAAAGTTTAGCAAAATATGTCATCCACCTTTGTTGAATATCATCTTCTAAGAAAAGTATTTTTTGATCTTCATCCTAAATACACTTCACTTGAACTAAATCCTTACTACTCCTATCTCTTTGTTTGACTAATTTATACATATATCTTTTCTCTCTCCTTAGTATCTAATCTATTATATAAATCACTAAAAGCTAAGGTCTTTGTATCTCATATTGCTTTCTTAAATTCCTTACGAGCCTCTTTATATCTTTCTCAATTATCAGAGTTTTTAAAATTAAACCAATTTTTATAACAAATCTTCTTATTTTTAATCTTTTCTTGCACATTTGGATTGCAACACCAACTATTTTTACTATTAGGAGCTTTTCCCTTTGATACTCCAAACACATCTTTTGCAATATTTTTAATATCACTAGCCACTTTTTCCCACATAACATTAGCATCCTCATGCACAGACAAAATCTTAAGATCTAAAATCTTATTCTAAAAAATATTTTTGTTAATATTCTTTAAATGCCCCCATCTAATCTTATAATATTGTTTTACTTTATTTTTTATTTTTTGCCCCTTTATCTTAAAGTCCAAAACTAATAATCGATATTGGGTACATAAATTTTCACTCGGAATAACTTTACAATCTTTGCAATCTAAACGGTCTAATTTTCTTATAAGAAAATAGTCAATTTTATACATCAATTTTATATGATCAAGAGACTAAATTGAAGCAATGTTATATTCTGGGACAAAAATGGACATAGACGAGTAGTCAGGGTCTACTTTTAGATTTAACCCATTTTAGAAGTATAATAGTCATTCTCCTCACGCATTCATCACCATACATCACAACTTGTGATAACAGATTAAACCACTCTTCCAGTTCTAACTCTAGGTTGAAGCCAGCATAAGTGATATAATGAAGGGAATCCAAGTTTGCTTTATTTTTATATTTTGCAATATCTCAAGCAAAAGTCAAGGAGAGGGACTTAATATTTTTTGCCACTTCTTTTTCAGGATTTTTTCCCAAGTTGCTTATTCCATATATCACCTCCTCTGCTTTCTCCTTTTAAAATCCCAATCACCATTGTGCATCAGTATTTTTCATCTGAAAAACATCAATTTTCTTCTGATCAGCAAAGACAGATCAAGTTTATGACACTTCATGATTAATTCTCTCTGGATAGCAGTTGAGAAGTTATGAATTTCTTAATCTTGTTACTCACGACTAAAATTGTCCTTATGTATTGGGCTTTTGCTAAGATTTCTTAGAAATTATGGGGAGAGTTGAGGTCTTGGGAAGATAAAGAATTGTGGGGGAATGTGTAGTAGAATTTCAAAGGGGTTTAAGGGGTCTTGGGATTGAGGGAGGCAATGATTTAGAGTTGGTTGAGCCCTATATGGAGGAGGGGGAATTGCGTTGGGAGACAAAAGTAGGAGTACAACAACAACACAACAATAACAACAACATCAAGCCTTTGTCCCACTACATGGGGTTGGCTACATGAATCCTTTTTCTCCATTGTGTCCTGTTAAAAGTCAAATTCTCATTTAAATTTAATAAAGAAAGATCATTTCTAATATTTTCTAACCAAGTCTTTTTTAGGTTTACCTCTACCTTTCTTAACATAAGTCAAACCAAATACCTCTATTTTCCTAACCAAGTCATTGGGAGGCCGTTGTTTTATGTGACAAAACCATCTAAGGAGAACCTCTCTAATCTTATCTTCCACTAGAACTACTCTAACTTTTTCACGTATATGCTCATTTTATATCCTATCTCTAAGGGTAAAGCCACTCATCCACCTGAGCATCCTCATCTCTGCAACATTTAACTTATTATGCTTCTCTTTTAATGGCTAACATTCAGCACCATAAAGCATTGCAGGTCTCACCACCATCTTATAGAATTTTCCCTCAAGTTTAAGGGGGACTTTTCTATCACACAACAAGCCCGATGCAATCCACCACTTCAACCATCCAACTCGAATTCTACTGATAATATATCCATCTATTTCACCATCTCTTTGAACAATAGATTCAAGATATCTAAAATGTGTACTCTTATTAATGACTTGATCGCCCAAAATCACAATCCCCTCACTAGATCATTACTGCTAAAATTACACTGCATATATTCAATTTTAGATCTACTCAAGCGAAAACCTTTGGACTCTAAGGTTGACCTCCATAATTCATGTTTACCTTTAACTCCCTCTCTAGTCTTATCAACAAGAAGAATATCATCAACAAAAAGCATACACCAACATACATCCTCTTGCAAATGTCTAGTGAGAACATCCATGATTAAAGCAAAAAGATATGGGCTTAAGGTTGATCCTTGATGTAACCCAACCGAAATAGAGAAATACTTGGTCAAACCACCTTGTGTTTGAACACAAGTAATAGCTCCTGCACTCCTTTTTTTTTTCAAGAAATCTCCATAGCACTTCTCTTGGAACTTTATCATATGCTTTCTCTAAATCAATAAATATCACATGTAGATCCTCCTTATTCTCTCTATACTCCATCAAACCTCTCAATAAATGTATGGCTTCCAAAGTAAACCTACCCAACATGAATCGAAATTGATTTTGAGAAACATTTGTACACACCGCAACCTACGCACCATAAAATAAAGACAAAGGATTCATATAGCCAACCCCACGTAGTGGGATAAAGGCTTGATGTTATTGTTGTTGTAGTAATTTTGGAGAGAAAAGGGGTTGTCCATGGGCTTGCTTGGGGAGTTTTGCAAGATAAATTGCACAAATTTTAATGCAATGCCTTGATTTCTAACCTTATCCTAAAACCTTTGAGTTGCTGCTTTATCATATTATTATATTTTGATGTAAAAAATATTTTCTTAACATAGAGACCTAAAAGAAGAGGTGTTTATAGAATCTCCTCAAGGATTTGACAAGGATTCTGAAGGCTCTAGAGTATGTATGTAAAAGAATGCAATATATGGCTTAAAATCTTCCCCTAAAGCATGGTTCAAGAGATTCACAAAAGTCATATTAATAATACTTTGTTAAATGTTCTGCAAAAAATAACTTCTTGCCTTATTAGTCTATGTGGATACATTATCATAATAAGAACCAACACAGCTAAAAATATCACTGAAGTGTAGTCAAGTAAAAGAGTTTGAGATTAACGAACTTAGGAGACTGAAATATTTCTTGAGGGTCAAATTAGCATATTCTAACAAAGCATATTTAAGGCATTGCTGCAAGAGCATCCAATAAGATTCCAAATCCAAATAAGCTTTCTAATGCACATTATTTTGATCTTTACTGTTATCTTTCTTTTTATTTTCTTTTCTTTTCACTTAGGTTACAGCCCGGATCGTATGCATAATTACATTAAGTTGCAATCCAAGTTAATTTCACTTCCAAGCTAATTAGCTTGGCCTGATCGCACTTCAAAGTTATTTGGAGGGCTAGGATTTTGCATGAATAAAATAAAAAGCAGAACCATTGTTTAGACCCCAATAAAAATTCCTTAACCTCCTGTCCTTAGAGAATGAACTGATCTACAGATTTCAAGGCTTTTGGATCTGAAATATTATCTTTCCAACTTCAAACTATTTGTCTTTTTTGTTTAACTGCCTCTATGCTGCAAGAATGCTGTTCTACTGCATAAAACATCTAAATAAAAATTGATAAACTTTAAGTGATGTCTTCACCAATATCGACCAGCACAGGTGGCAGATCACAGATCACTAGAAGTTAGATTAAGTATGGCCAAATAAAAACGGAGATGCTCAATATCATTTCTATGCAGAATTTGCGGTATGTTTATCCTCATACATGTTGAGATCATCTATTAGGTTCTTTTTATTTTTTTGACAAAGTGTGTGCGTGTATTATATATATATATATAGAGAGAGAGAGAGAGAGAGAGAGAGAGAGAGAGAGAGATCATACTTTGACTTGTGCTTTTCCAGACAATGTTGGTACTTCGGCCTTGCCACCAAGAATTGCCTGTCATGTAGTCAAGCTATATATTCTAAGAAGTATGTTTGATTTCATAACTCATAAAACTATTTTGTGAAAATGAAACAGGAATATTGAAAGCCAATTAAAGTAATAAAAAGTACAATACAGCTGTTATGAACACAAGTCCATAACGAATCAAATAGACAAAACTTACTGTATTAGATAATTCAATAAGAATACATCAGTTTAGCACAAAAAAGTTGACAGTTCACAATAAGTATCATTTATAGATATCACAAATGTTGCATCAAATAAACTGCAAAAGCAGCCTAATTTACATATTTTAAGTCATATATATCAAAAGACGACATTTGAAAAGGCCCATATCATGGAGTTAATATTTTTTACCTGAATAAAAGATAAAGTTTGGAGAATCTATACTTAGGGCTGTCAATTCCTGACACGACCCGCTAACCCGACCTGAACCCGACCCGGAAAATCCGGGTTCGTGTCAACCCGTGAAAGAAACGGTTCGGGTCCGGGTTGAAGGATTTGACCCGTTTATATATTCGTGTCGGGTTCGGGTCAACCTGCGGGTCAACACGAATAACCCGCTAAGCGACTCTCGTTTTAATAAAATTTAAAAATCCGCGATTCGGTCATTCCGCGCGAGACTTCGAGAGACGAGAGTCGAGAGGGTTCTAGGGTTTCATTTCTCGGTTCTCCTCGCTCTCACGCTCTGGCTTTGGGGTGGAGCCGTGGAATCGACGAATCGTGGAGGAGCTGATGGAGGTTTCTTGATATCTTCTTCTGATCTTCTGAGTTCTGAAACATCTGGCTTTGGTCCTTCGGAATTCTTCCTTGAATCCTCTTCCTTTCTCCATTTCTCAGTTGCGATTTGCAACGGTTGGTAATATCTTGAATAACTCTTAAATCTTTATTATCTGAAGTGTTGATTTGATACTTTGATGGTGGTCGGTTGTTTCGATTTCTATTTGACCTAATTTGGTGGTCGGCGTGAATCATTAGTCGTGCGAAAGCGAAACTGTGAATCTGTGATGGCCTGATGGGTTTTATGTTTATGTTTAAGTTCTTCTTCCTTTAGTTCCTATGAGTTATGAGTATAAGACTATAAGTGTATAACTGCATGTGACATGGCCGACTTTTCTAGTTTTCTGGAGTATGCTGCACATTTTCTTGCTAAAAATTTCCTCTTCCATCTATTATACTGTTAGTTAGAGTGTCGTTTAGTGATTTACTATTACAGTTTTCCAATTTTCTTGCTGTTGAGATTACGGCTTGCTTTGCTGTTGAGATTACGGCTTGGTAGTTGGTCGCTTGGGCCTCTTGGAGTTGTCGGGTTGCTGAGTTGAGTTTGCGACACTACTATTATATGAACCGTATAATTGTAATTAGTTCGGCTTGTGTTAGTGACACGATCATCAATATATTCACGTCACACGCATAAGATCATATAGACTGAAAAGGTGTTTGTTAAATCTATAATTACAATCGCTCGAGACAGTTGTTCATGAACGGGTTTGTATTGTATCTTACCTTTTGGTTTAAAATCACTAATGGTGTACTAACATTTAATTACTGTCTAAAGTGCAGTTCCTTGGATACCTTGGTTTGCGAATTATAGGGAAGGACGCGGCTTAAGTCTTCTTGTTCTTGACCGCAACAACATTAAGGAGGAGTGCACGATCTTCGTTGGCAGATCTTGCGTAGTATCGCTCCTCTTGAATAGACTGGTTCGCTGCTTCATACAGGTAGAGCTGTCGTGCCTATTGTTGATTTAATTCGTCAAGGCGGTCATATGTCACAACCTAAGTCTCACTGCGCTTGTACTGTCCGTGAGTGCAATAAATCCTGCTACGGTAGAAATAGCTTGTTGTAAATGCAATATGAGTTTCCTACGCAGAAACCCCATAATCGTCTACTTAAGCCATGAATATTTCGACTTTACTTAGTCTCATGTCTCGTGGACCTATACGTTTTGTGAGTGTAAGGCACACGAATGTTCTGCCATGAGTGGCCAGGGATATATTGCATATGATGTATAATCATCAACGTCTAATTACTTTGCAGACTACATGTGCAGCCTGACATCCGATGGTCATATGATTCCATAATAATCCATGCGATACTTGTATTCGCTATGCTCAGTGGGTTGGCTCGTGATGCATCTTGAACATGTACGGGTCGTCTTCATCAGCTTACAGTAGCAACCTATCTGCTACAATTTACTCTCTGTACTTACTCGAGATGAGCTCTTGTACGTGTAACAGGTCTCCTAAGATAAATATCATAGAGTTCTAAATTCCACCACCTCTCAATGCACATGGTTGGTAGGTACTACATTCAGGTGATTAGTATTTTATGCTGAAGTGTTACAGAGGAAATGTTCATTGATGTGTGCATATGTATCTCCTCTCTTTATTCTTGTGAATGAGATATATATAGGGACTTCCTTGTCCACTATACATTTTGGTGTCGCATCACGGTACCGAAATAAATGGATCACATTTGCTTATTGAATCTCTAGTAGTTTGATTGTTGAATGAATGTTCTCAAAAGTTTCTTTTGATGATGCTTGCAAATTCCTCTTGAAACTTGCTTATTTTATCAAGCATTGTGTCCATTCATCGGTGTTCCCAACATAGTCCCATGCTATTCTCTTAGAGTTCTCAAAAGTCTTCGTTGTAGTATCATTTGCAAATTCAGATGTGAGTTCAATTCTCAGCTCATTGTCAATTTATTTGAGTTCAGAGTAGCCCCTGTTTGTTTGTGCATTCCAAGTTCAAAAGTTAAGCTCATCGGATGTTGCTTGATTTCAAATGCTAAGCTAAGCGATATATTGAGCAACTTTGCAACTCAAGTCCAAAATATTATTCATAGGGTTGAATTCAATCAAGTCATTTGTTAGATGTTAAGCTGAATGAAAGCCAAGTTGTAGGTCAACTGAGTTAAACTCCAATCTTGCACAAATCCTTGTTTGAGTTCCTTTGTCTAGTCATTTGAGTCAAGATTGAGCCAAGCTTACAAGTCGTCTACTTAGTTTAAGTTCAAGATGCATAGTCGCCTGTTGTCCTTTGAGTTCGTCGTCGTGCTCAAAATGAGTTCATCAATTCTATGAGAATCCAGGTTCATGTTACATATTTTTTAATTAAAATTGCAAATCATTTGGGTTCAGTTCAATTAAGTCATGTTGCAATCCAAGTTCTCCACATTCGAAAAGTCCCAAGTCAATCATTTTTTTCAAGGTCCTTGAGCATATTCCAATCCAAATTGGCAGCCTCCCGGCGTCTCCCCGTTTCGGGAAAAACCAAGAGGGCCACATTCCATCGAGCTACGTGAGCGCAGTCAGGTAGGTTCAAAAAGACACGGCGGTGCGAATGAAAATTTTTATGCCCGCCGCCTGCTACGTGAGCATGAAGGGTTTTGTAGGTTGTTGTTATAGAAGAAAACAGACGTTAGAGAAAACTAGATTTCCCCCCTCTGCCCACGGGCGTCGGGGGTACTTTATATGAAATAAACGGAACACATTTTTATCCCTTCGCCGCAACGTCGCACGGTTTCCCACCCTATAACGCACTTGACGCGGCCTCGGGGTTGCCGCTCGTGCTAAAGCATTGAAGAGGGAATCCTTATCTCGTACCAATCATCGCACCGAGGTTCCACCCTAAACGCTACGGGAGCGGCTCTCGGGGGTTTGCCGGCCCATCGCAAACCATCGAGAAAAGAACCCTAACATATCTTTTTTTTTAATAATAATATTATACTATTTCCATAATAATAATCTAAATATTAGTATTAATATTATTTATAATAATATTAAAAACGAACATTAAACTATATAAAAGATAAATATAACGATATTAGATATTAATATTATATTAACATTATATTATATTACTACTTCATATTATAATAATATATTAAAATATCAAATTAATGATATAACAATCATAATAAAATAATCAATATAAATTATTAATAAGTAAATAATATATATAAAATATATATAAGACTAATAAACTAAAAGATAATAAACATTTACAAGAGAGACACCTTAATTAGCCTAGGTGTAGTTGGTAAGTTGAAGGTGAGTAGGGTGAGTGAACTGATTTGGAATGAGTCGGATGAATTAGGCTTAGGTTAGTGAAATTGAGTGACTGAGTCGGGTGAGTCAGTGATGGTGCTAGGTTAGGTTAAATCGGCTGAGTGAACTGAGTACGAGTCGGACGAGTTGAGCTATTGGTAGTTTGGACTGGAGTTAGTTGGGCTGGGCTAGGTTAAGTAGGGGTTCGGCTCCTCTCACCTTTTCTCTGTATTGTGGATCGGAGGAAGAAGAGATCGGGCTGGGAGGTGAAGTCCGAAGGAGGGAGCTCGGCAAAGGAGGCCGGCCAGGTACGATCTCTCGTCTCGTCTCCTCTCTCTCTCTCTCTCTCTCTCTACTCTCTCTGCGATGGAGCGAGCAGGAAAGGGGCGACAAGGGATGGAGCTAGGTCGTGGAGAGGAGATCGTGAGCAAGCAAAGCGACTGAAGGCTCCATCTGCCTCGTGTATTTAACGACGCGAAAGAGCTGCGATCGAGGCGTCGTTCGCATTGACTGAAATCCCGTGGACGAGATGTACGAGTCCACAGCTTTGCAGGGATTTCGGCAGGATTCCGACTGTTGACCTTGGAATCTGGCTTCTACGACGGATACGATCAGAGAATTCCATACCGAGATTCCAAGCCAGAATATTATGGAGCTCTAATCGGCGAATGCTAATGATTCATTTTCGGGTAATATCTGTGGTATGATTAAGATGTCAGAATTGCGCCCCAACCAAATGTGATACGCGCCGAGCGATGCACGTTTGTTGTATGACTGAGTGACCCTGTTGAACCCTAGATATTTTTCTTAGATGCTCACACAGAGGCTCTCTATCAACGTAGGGATATATCTCATCAACAAAACATTTATTGATGCACATCTGATTCATTAGTTCCTCTAGTGGATCTCCAAAAAAATTATGTCTATGGATTCACACTAC